TATTATATTATATTATATTATATTATATATATTATAATATAATATTATATTATATAATATAATATAATATAATGTAATATAATATAATATAATATAATATAATATAATATAATATAATGTTATATTATTATATTATAATAAAATTTAATATAATATAATATAATAAAATATATTAAAATATAATATAAAAATATAGTATAATATATTATATTATATTATATATTTTTATTTTATTATATTATATTGTTTATAGTAATAAACAGCGCTCATTATTGCAAAGTGTGGAGTTGGACAGTTCCATTTTTGTGCGGAGGGGGGCTTTAAATTTGATTGACAAACTTACTCGAAGCTAAAGTGTTTTGTTAATCATCACCATAAAATTACATTCATATTCCTTACACAAGTTGCATGTTTACAATGCAGTTTTTTCTTTAATGCTATCTCCATGGTCTTTAGCCAGGGGGAGACTAAGCCTTCCCCAGCCTTACACACACTCCACCTATGATGGAAATGCTGCTTTATTTGCATATCATTTATGAGATATTCCTATTTAGTGCATATATTTAATTCACATTTTTGGATGGAAACATAGCTAATGAGTGTGAATATTAAAAAACATTAAAAAAAAGTTAATAAAAATTATAAAAGCGTACATAACTGTATCGTACATAAACCGAAAACACACTAAAATGCAAAAACTGTTCATTAGCAGATATTTTCACAGAAGTGTAGAAACCTGATTTAAAAAGCAGCAGCAGCAGCCTGTGGCCAATTGGGGGGTCCCCGCAGTTTAAGCCGAGCCCACAGGAAGGAGCTTGTGTGAGGGATCTATCTATGCAGAGAATGCAACCCTTTGGAGATGTGGGCCCTGTGTGGGAAGAAAATGAAGGCCTTTCTGGTCCCCTGCTGATAGCGAGAGGAAAGCCGAGCTCTGGGTAAGATGCTGACCTTTGACTCTTCTTCAGAGGACTGACAGGAGCGGCCCTGAACTCTCACCCACGGGACAAACCAGCGCTGAAGCGTGACCTGCTGCTGGGGGCGTGGAGCTGCCATTCAGGAGTCCAGCATTCTGGACATTCCACGCGCCGTTCCCTCATAGCAGACGCCCCTCCCCACTGGACCCACTGCAGGACCCCACTGTCCCAAACACAGGGATCATACTGGCACTGGAAAGACTTTATTTTACTTTACTTTAGCTTACTTTTATTTTACATTACCGTTATTTTACTTTACCTTTCTTTTACTTTAGTTTACTTTACCTTTAATTTATTGTACCTTTCTTTTACTTTACCTTTGTTTTACTCTATTTTACTTTACCTTACTTTTCTTTTACTTTCTTTTACTTTTCTTTGCTTTACTTTTATTTTACATTACTTCACTTTACCTTCCTTTAACTTTACCATTATTTTACTTTACCTTGCTTTTACTTTACCTTTATTTTAACTTACTTTTTTTTACTTTACCTGTTTTTACTTTATTTTACCTTTCTTTTAATTTACCTTCCTTTTACTTTACAGTTATTTTACTTCACCTTTTTTTACTTTACCTTTCTTTTACTTAATTTTACTTTACCTTACTTTACCTTTCTTTTACTTTTCTTTGCTGTACTTTTACTTTACTTCACTTTACCTTCATTTTACTTTACAGTTATTTTACTTTACCTTGATTATACCTTACCTTTGTTTTACTTTCTTTTACTTTACCTTTTTTACTTTAACATTCTTTTACTTTTCTTCACTTTTTTATTTTACTTTACTTCTCTTTACCTTTCTTTTACTTTACCTTTATTTTACCTTACTTTATTTTACTTTACCTGTTTTTACTTTATTTTACCTTTCTTTTAATTTACCTTCATTTTATTTAACCTTTTGTTTTATTTTATTTTACCTTTCTTTTACTTTACTTTAACTTCCTTTTACTTTGCCTTTCTTTTACTTTTCTTCACTTTACTTTTATTTTACTTTATTTTACTTTACTTCACTTTACCTTCCTTTTACTTTACAGTTATTTTACTTTACAGTTATTTTACCTTACTTTATTTTACTTTACCTTTCTTTA